AACGGGCCGGTTAACCGAACCGAATTAAATGGATGAGAAGAAGTCTCTAAACCGTCCGAACCGAATTAAATCGGTTTGGATCCGGTTTGAACCCCTGAACCGCCCAAAAAAAACCGACCCGAATTCTGTTGGGCGGTTTAGAGACTAAACTTATACCTCAAAACTTTTCATGTTATCATCCAATAGATTCAAACGGCGCAAGGAGCAGTTTCAAGCAATGAGTACAGCAATATCACAGAAAAATATCCTTGAGAACTAAATAAAGATTCAAATCAATCCAGAAAATTTGTTATGCACATGATGCACTTACAAAAGATGCATATGCTACATTATATGAACAATATCATACAAAACATCACTCCCCCGTGTAATTAAATAAACTTAAACTTTAGTTAAAAAATTTCGCAGAATAGATCTAGAGAATTACATAAGATTCAAATCAATCACAAAATGTGTTATGTACATGATACTTACAAGAGATAAGCATGCTGTATTATATGAATAACATCTTTAAAACATCAGTTCTCTGCGTAATTATATCAACTCAAAACTTTATTCTAAAAATGATAACCAGTCTAATAAAGCTTTGTTGGCGAGCTCAGGAACCTCATCATAAGGACAATGCCCAGCTTGCAGATTCACAACAGAAGTCTTTGGATAGAACTCTTTGCAAATTCAAAACCGAAACCGAACCGAACCGAACCGAACCGAACCGAATTTCGGTTGGGCCGAATATTCGGATGAAGGGGAAAAAATCTGGATCTGGATGAGAGTTTTGAGAATCCGAAAAATTCGGATTGGATGCGGATTGGGCATAAAACCGAACCGAACCGAATATGCCTAGCCCTAACTATTAGTCCTGTATATTTTATAAGAATTGGATTAATCTTAATTACAAATTATTAATTACACGGACTACTAGTCCCATGTATTTTAAAGTTTTTTTTACAAAATCTACCTCTTTTTAGCTAGTCTTGATGACGTGGCTAAAAAGTGGTTGATTGTACTTATTATTTTACAAAACAGTTGTTTTTAATAATTATTTTTTAAAAAAGTATTTTTCAAAAAATTCTCGTTTTCCTTAGTATTTTTTTTTCCAATTTTTGTAATCATCACATTGTTACTTTGCTATTGACAAGTAACTTTTAAGTATTTTTTTGAGGAATATAACTTTTAAGTGTTAGACGATACTAAACACATATTAAAAACAATTTGAATATTAAAAGGTAATAAAAACTATATTAAGTGGGCTAAAGTGAGCCGATCTATATCATAATAACTCTTTCCGCATGTTCTCGGACCCATATGAGGGCTGGACTGAAACCTAAGCCCGAGAATAAGTTGAAAAAGAGGGTTCACTCGAATCATTACAAGTCACGAGTATGATCGCCTCGCCTCTGAGCTTGCATGGGTCATGGCCCGCTACTCACCCTTACTTCACAAAGAAGAAATTTTCAAAATAGTCCCAAACGAAAACTTTTTTAAAAAATCGACCCCCTTCAGTTTTTATTACAGAAAGCAACCTACTTTCTGGTCACGTTAGCACCATGGCCAGAAAGTGGGCCAGTTTTTTTAAATGAGTTTCTAATTAGTCAGGGTTGTAAACCCCGACTATTTTGGACGCATCTAGCAATTTGTTAGCTAAATTAGTCAGGGTTCGAAACCCCGACTAATTTAGCACATGTTTAAATTGCTCGGGGTTGGGAACCCCGACCATTTCAAATTAAGGCTTTTGAAATGGTTGGGGCATTTAGCAGAGAGTTTTGCCCATTCTAGAAATGGTCGGGGTTGGGAACCCCGACCATTTTGTGCATTATTTAGTGCATAGCATGCACGAAATGGTCGGGGTTCCCAACCCCGACTATTTTGTAGAGATCTTCCAGCCCACACTCAGCTGGAAAATCACACTCCTGCTAATACATATCAATCCACCAACTCTTTGTACACATTTATCAATCCACAATGCAATCGTAAACATAAATAACACACATACCAATCCATAACCGCAAACATTCATTTCACTTACTAAAAATCCATAATCAATCGGATACATAACATTCAATTCACTTACTAATAATCTATACTCAATCGAATACGTAACATTCAGTTTCAAACATTAACATCCTATCAAGTATATCGAAATTTAACAAATATCGAAACTTAACAAATATCTACAACTCCTTTTCCTCTCCCTCCCCTCTCCCTCTCCTCCTTCCCCGTTTACTTTCAACATGTGCTCGAATGATCTCATCGTCCGGTTGTGTGTGAACTTAGGAGCGCACGACATCCTCGTCGACTGGAACCTGCTGTGAACATCCGGCTTGAGCTTGTTGTGAGCCGCCAACTTCATCATATGCACGACTTGATCCTGCTCCTATGTGTCCTCGAACCCGTCGACGCCCATACCCAATGAGTCGCTCCTCACGTCCATCACGTCTCGCATTACGCATCCTATTAAGAGCGGATTGAATCTTTTTTATGATGCGAATGAACGTATTCCTCACCCCTGGCTCGTTAACCATTCTCATTGCATCATGCACCATAGTAGCAACCTCATCGAGCTCTTGTACCTATAAAATAAAAAAGTAAAAGAGAATTATTAGCAAGTGGATGATAATAAAATAATAATCACAAATTACTTGTATATTTTGCCTATACACTTACAAACTCTCTCTCAATTAGACCTCTTAGTATGTACTCCTTAGGGGCTTTGTTCTCCTGAAATATCCATCGGTGAGTAATCCCCCAATACCACCGCAAGTACACACCTAGGTCAGGTGCGTCAGCCCTCTCCATCACTACAACATCATTCCTCAACTCCCAGCTCTGGATGTAAGCATGACGAATTAATTCCCAAATTGCATGATGTGCTCCTTTTCTAGGATTTCACTCTATTCTTTCTATAGGGTCTGGAATATGTTGTTGTAGTCCAAATTGTCAGAGCACATGGTCAGGCACATGCATTTTGACAATCTCAAAGCATATAATCAACCGCTCTATGTAAGAGGCGGAAGCACCATTGTAATCTTGCTTGAACATTGGATTGCTACATGTGTGAACACCGCAATATTCTGTGATCCTAAAATACCCATTATGTTTCTTTCCGGCAAATGCATATAACTTCCAAGGACATGCGTAATCAGCTTCATTTCCCTCGGCCAGACCTTTCCTTTGTGTATTCTTAAAAACATATTGTCTTATAACTTGTGCGATTGCTTTTAATTTGCTTAAATTTGACAACCTTTTTGATTGCGTAATCAAGAATAGCATCAACTAATTGGTCCTTAGTCTCGAATAAATCACCAACTCTGAAAGAGACGTCATCATCTCCTTTATGAGTTAAACTCTCGCCAATGTGCATATCTTGTACTATGGAAGAACGAATCCACTCATCATCTTCAAACTCGTCGGGGGGGGGGGGGGGGGGGGGAACGTAGTCAGGTCTTCGTACTCAACATATTCATTATTAACATAAGCCTCATCTTCTCTTCATCATCTTCACTCACAAATTGCATGCTATCAATTGGTGCACTATCTTCATCTTCACCTTCAGAGGCGTTGCTTCTTTCATTCTCTTCAACGGTTGCCCCTCTTAACGGCCTCATATTTTCATAAAGGACTTTATTGTTCATAACATTTGACGTTCCACTGATTGAAGGTGCACCACTTTAATATTGAAATTGAGTCCGCTCTATTTCACTCGAAGAAGAAAGAAAATCATCAACTCCCAAATCTAACATGCATGAGAATTCTCCTGGAGGGTTGAATATTTGGCACGAATTATGTGACAACTTTTCAATAAACAATTCTACTGTTGGTTGCGACTTGCTGAAATTAAACATGATACTTATATGATGATCGTTTGAGATCTCAACTGCGGACGTTCCATCAAAAGTTATGGATCAATTGCATATTATTTTTAGTCGGTACTCTCGTGGGTCAATTGCCGTAACTCGGTGTAATTCATTAACCAAGTCACAATAACTATATGATTTCGAGATCATTAACAACGTCGTTACCCCCTCCGACGTATGTTGGCATATTATTCATTCCATAATTAATTTTCATATCATAAGAGTAAGTAATAAAAATCATATTGTTCAACCTATGCAAAAGAAAAATATATCATTTAAATACAAAAAACTAAAAAAATATTATCAATTACAATCCTAAACCCAAATTAAAACCCTAAACCCCCAAATCCTAAACCATAGAATTGAGCATTTCTATGCTCTAAATGTTTAATTTCAACTACAACAAGAATAATTTTTCTAAATAAACCATTACAAATAGAGTTTAAACCCTAGAAATATATTTTTGAGAGAAAATCCTAGATTTCTACATGTTAAAAGAGGAGAGAAGGAAGAGAAATTACCTTATAGATCTTTCGCGATGAAATTCGACCGAAAAATAGGGTTGAAATCCAAGATCGGTGGCAACTAAGGGTTTGGGGGGGAGAAGAGCGACAGTTTTGAGGAGTGGGAGGGGGCTGGGAACCAAGGGTTGTGGGGGAAGAGTTGGGGGGGGGGGTATGATAGGCGGGTGGGCGACACAGACAAGAGTCATGATTAGCAACCCCGACTATTTTGTCCCTTAGCCATTTTTCCAACTCGTCAACTGAGGGTGTAAAGTCTCTGCTAAATGATCGGGGTTGGGAACCCCGACCAATTTAAACGTGTGCTAAATTAGCTGGGGTTTCGAACCTTGACTAATTTGGCTGGCAAATTACCAGTGGCGTCAAAAATAGTCGGGGTTGCCAACCCCGACTAATTAGAAACGCGTTAAAAAAACCGACTCACTTTCTGGCCATGGTGCTGACGTCACCAGAACGTGGGTCGATTTTTGTAATAAAAAATGGAAGGGGGTTGATTTATTTAAAAAAGTTTTCTTTGGGACTATTTTGAAATTTTCTTCGCTTCCCAAATCTTGGGTGCCATTCCGTTCATAGACTCTGTCGTGGACTCAAAACGTTGACCTCCAAAATGGACCACGAGTGTCACTTCACTCCTCTGGCAAAATTTCAACTGCAGCTCTGTATCAGTCGTTTTCTTCTCCACCGGAGGAAAAAGAACAGACTTTTTCAAGGGACCGATTTGCAGACTCTAAACCCTTAGAAAAACCCTAGCTCCACCGGAACCCTAAATCCCATCAAATCAGCCCCAAATGAGCGGCGGAAGCAGAAGAACAACTCGGATCCGGCCGAAGCCACCCGCGTCAGGATCCGAACCCGAACGGCCCTCGGCCGGCCGGCGAAGGGAGAGGAATCGAGATCACGGCCCGATCCGGTTGATGAACGTCAGGATCTGCACGCTTCTAGGGTTAGGGTTTGGATTCCTGGCCCTTTTGTTGGTTGGATTCTTTGTTTATTCTTCTGGTGGTGGATCGGAGGAGGAGTTGGCGGAGGCTAGGAAGCTGATGAGGGTTGTTACCCCGTTGCCAGCCCCGAAAATGATGGATCTTCCTCAGGTTTGTAAATTGATGGGTGATTTGATGGCATTGCTTATTTTTGTGGAAAAAATGTGAACTTTTTTAGTTTTAAATGGTTGAAGTTTCAAGGGGAGCACAAGGAGAGCTTGTACTGGGGAACTTACAGGCCCAACGTTTACCTTGGAATTCGTGCCAGGTAATTTTGTGCTCTAATAGTTAAAATTTTCCCGTGGGAGCATCTCCAACCCAAAAACCCAAAATAGTATAGTTTTTACGCTAAATTGGTGTAGTTTTTACACCAAATCGCTATTTCATCTCCAACCCATTACACCAAATTTTACACCAAAAAGAATAATCCTTTTATGATTCTTATCTTCTAAAATTATTATCTATTTAAAATATTTAACAAATTATATATTATATAATTATATAATACATTATATATAATTAATTATAAAAATATATTTTATGAATAAAATACAAATATAAAAATAATGCTTAATCAAGTTAAAATATTACTTTCATAAATTTATGTACTAATTTATGTGTAATTTTTTATTATAATACAACATAAATTTATTATTATAAAATATATTATTAAAATATTACTTTGTGTTATATTATTATTTATTATAAAAATAATATAAATTTATTATGAATTAGCACATATATTTATGTGTAATTATTTTTATTATAAAAATAATATAACTTTATTATTTATGTGTATTATTCTTTTTATCTAAATAATTAAAAGGCTAAAAAAACAAAAAAAAATTGTTGCGCCAAAGCTACAGTGCTGCGCCAAATCTGGCGCAGCACTGTAGCAATTATCAAATTGGCGCAATTTTTAGAGTTTAGTTGGAGGGGTCAAATCGCGTCAAAATGGGTTTTTAGAGTTCGGTTGGAGATGCTCTAAGGCCACTCTCTTTTTTCCTTCTTAGGGCTTGTTTGGTTCGCATCCTCAAGAAAATGGTAATGGAAATTAATCCTGAAAATCTATTTTAGTGCATTTCCGCGTATTTCCTAGAAGTATATTTTTTCTGTTTGTTTCACATGGAGATAATATGGTGAAATAGTATTTCTTTATTTTCTCTTCCTTGGTTCAAAAGTTTAAAAACAAGAGATCTGACGATATCTTTTGATTTCCTCAATTTTCTTTGTTTAACAGACAATAATAGATAATGGGAAATGTTGTAAACCCCCTTTTCTCCAATTCCCCCGACATCATCACCCAATATTTAATGCTAAAAGATTAGATTTCCAGCCAATTTCAGAGGTTTAAGCTCTGAAATTACATTTCCTAAAAAATCTACTTGGCAGGGTTCTTCTACCCACTATTTCCCAAAAATCAAGGATGAAACAAACACAAGAAAAAGAAATATTATCAACTTCAAAATCCGAGATAATGCTGGTATGCCACTGTAGATTTGTATTCGTGAACCACATGAGTGTAAACTTTAGTTGTTGATAATAACCTCATACATTTCAATTTGACGTATTTGTTGCCTTAGATTAAACATAAGTTCACTTTTGAAAGTTGAAACTTTAGTTATTGCTGTTTTAACCAAATGATCGAAAGATATTAGTAAAATTAAGACAACTATAAACTTGATAATGTAGGATCTAATCTAATACACATTAAAACACTAGAGGGGGGGGGGTTAAATAGTATTCTTTTAATAATTATACAAAGTAGATTATAAATTGCAAGAAAGATAACAACAATCACAGAAATTTATAATCACAAACACAAGCTTTTATACTGGTTCCACTTCTCCGGTGTACATCCAGTCCCCAAGCAAATTCCGTTTGAGAGTTCAAAAAAGCAAGCCTGACCAATTTATAAGACCATGCAAATTGTACACAATCTCTTCACCAAGAGATTACAACTATCACACCCGAAAGAACTTTCCTTGAATCAATAACAACAATTCCTATAAGCATTGAATGTGTAGTGATGTGCACCAGTGACTTTAGGAATGTTTTTAATCTTTGGAAATTGCCTAAAAACTTTGTATATAGGATGAAGATCAATGGCTATTTCAGATAACACTTTTTCTCAACACTTAGGTAAAAAATCTGAATTTTGAACTCTTGAGAATGCACGAATGTCAAAGCTTATGGATAGGAATTACTTGGTCCAAATTTCTGAACTTCTAACCTATTTATAGCCATTGAAAAGATAAGTTTTTAAAGCCAATTAACGGATCAAAAACGGCTATAAACAGTCACAAATTCAAACTTGAAATGTCAGAAAAATTATCTCTGTAGTCGACTATAACTTCTAGTAGTCAACTACATTGAGTTCAAACAAACTCTGTGAAGTAAGAATTTTTTTTAGTAGTCGACTACACTGTAATAACAAAAAGTCTGGAATTCAGGTTCAAAGCTTAGGGCATCTCCAACAGCTTCTCCAAAATTTTCTCCAAAATGGGGAAGTAAAAGTCATTCTCCAACTAATTTTTACACCAACTCCAACAGCTTTTTCATTTTAAAGAATCCCTTTTTTCCTCTAAAAATTTAGAGAATACTGCAGATTTGGGGAAGCTTCCCCATTTTTTTTCCTCCATCCCTAATTTGGGGAATGAGATGGGGAATCTGTTGGGCCAAAAACCTAACTAAATTCTCCAAAAGTGAGAAATAGGGAAGCTGTTGGAGATGCTCTTAGTAGTCGACTATACTGTATAGTAGTCGACTACACTGTAATCAACAGAAAGTTTAGAATTCTGGAATGACTCTTAATAGTGGACTATAATGCCTAGTAGTCGACTATTCTGTATTTTTACAAAATCTGAAAATTTGTCTAAGTTTTTATTAGTCGACTACACTGTATAGTAGTCGACTATACTGTTATTTGACAGAAACTTAATATTTTGATCAGTGTGCATCTAGTCGACTACAAATCTTATTGGTCGACTACTAAAGGGTAAAAATGATATAAATGAAGTATTTTGAGACCCATTATTTAACTATAAACTCTAATGGTTAACATATGAGATTTTTATTGTTAACCAACACACTAAGCATGAGTTAGTGTGTTCTAAACATTATGTGTGTGTATGTGTTGTGAGTGATCAAGGCTTGTACAATAATTCTAAGTGAAAAAAATGTAAAATTTACATTGTATATGTTTAAGCACTTCATCTTCTTTACTTCATATTGCCTTGAGCTCATCTTGCACTTTTGTCCACATATCTTGAGCTTATTTGAAGTTGATATCTGCATTGATATGTTTGTGCACAATAATACACATAGTGAATAAATTGTTATCATCAAAACTAAATCTTGGAGACATGATATCCAACATTCTCCATTTTTTTGATGATAACAAACAATTTATGCACATGTAAGTATATAACAAAAGAAATAAACATTTATAAGCATTATATACTTACCCCCTTGCACAAAAGCATATTAGAGCCTACAATTTGATTCTATATCATAGAATAGCATAATATTCGAATACTATTCTTCCCCTTTGTCATTAACAAAAAAAATTGAACATATATCCAACGTTTTAAATATCGGATGTCGGGTTCATGTCGGATGGCTGAAATCCATATCGGATAGCGGAAATCGGGGATATATCGGGGGACATTGACTAAATATCGGATTGTCATATCGGGTAGTGCGCATATGTATAATATCATGTCCTAAATGTAATCTAAGCATTCATAAATTCAATATAAGCATGCTTTATAAATTCTATAGACTAAACATATAAAAAGTAAATAATATATGGATTTGGATTCATAAATTCTTTCTATCGGGTTCATAAGGAACCCTTAAACATGAGAACGGGTCAAACGGGTTTGGGTATTTATCACTAAACCCAAACCCGATAACAAAAAACAAATCTTAAAAAAAGTACCATATCGGTCGATTTTTCAAAGCTAAAAAATAGGCCGATATGCCCGATATGACCCTGATATTTCCGATTTGGCCCTGAAAACCGATATACGAGTTGAAAACGTCCATGTCGTGTCGGTCAAGCCCTCAAACCGATATGTCGGCCGACATGTCCGACATGTCGGCCGATATTTAAAACCTTGCATATATCCTAAGCATGCAAATATTTCCTCTTCATGAGCTAATACTTCAAAAAGATCATCCAAATTGTGAACGTAGTCCATTACATCACCCATCCAAATTGAAAGGCAAAGACTTGCCATAAAGACCAAAAGTTTGATGATTTTCATTGTCACAATCTGTTTAGAATATATATAGCTCATGAACATTATATGTATAGAAAATTTTTCTAACACACTAAGCATGATAACACTAAGCATGATAACATAACACATTAAGCATGAGAACACTAAACAACATAGTAGCAACATAAAAACTTAGTAGCAACTTACAATGCATTACATAAATCTTAAACACACCAAACAACTAGCACATAGTTTTTGACACATAATTCAACAAACAAACAAACTAAGGACTTAATTGTTTTTGACACACAAACTGAAACTAGTCCAAGTGCTATATGATGCATGCAAAGTCTTCTAACTTGACGGGCCTAGAGGAGGTGGATGTCCTTGGAAATATACACTGAGCTTCAGATCCAAGTTATCCAACTTCTCGTTTATCTCTTCTTGATTTTTCAAAATACATGAGTTCTGAGCATAGAGTGCTTGTTGTCCAGTCACCAACTCAAGAATATGAGCAGACAAAGTGTTATATTGTTCATCAGAAAAGCATGAAGGTTCCGTTTGCATAGGTGATAGAATGTGGCTTGAAGAGGGTCCAACTTCATGAGAGGATTGTGATATGTCTTGGGGATTTGATTATTGTAGGGTGAGGCTCATCTTGGTGAAGTTCAAAGTTGGTTAATTTCATCCGAGTTAAGACATTGGAATCAAAGAGGTCGATAGAACGAATCATAGAATTTTCAGTTTCGAGTTCGACATGAAAAGCCTCAAAAATTCTAGTTAGAAAGACTTCAAATGGAAGAGATCCCTTAGGTAAAACTAAAAGATTTTCATAATAAACCTCAGCCCAATTCATTTTAATATTAGCCATAATAGCATATAGGGCCTTGGCTAAGTCATGTGATATAAAATGAAAACTCTCCTTTTTTCGGAAATAAATTGTAGGTAAGAATTCGGGCGATAAACCTAGGGATAGGCCTAAATTTATTGGAGTGATTCAGTAGTTTGCCATGTACGGGGCAAAAACATGATTTGAAAGTAA